TGCGGCTGTTCCTAGTTGTGGAACAGAGCATGTGCGAGGCCCTGGGGCCAGGGTTGTGGAGAGTGGAGTGTGTGTGTGGACAGTTGGCCGCTCCCCAGGCTTCAGAGCACCCTCACTGAGGCAGAGCCTATGGTGCAGCTGAGCAGGGCAGGAGCTTAGTGAGGAAAAGCCGGGCTTCACCGAGGAGGACCTGGCATTTGCTTTGCCAGGTCCTTCAGAGTTTGAAGCCTGGGCAGGAGGTGCGTCTTGCTGGTGAAGCCAGACAAATCTCCAGGTAGCAATAAACTGACTACACAGCCTTCATTCCTGAACACGTGTTCAAAAGCGATAAAATAAATGCAGATGGCTTCTCCAAGCCTCAGTGGAGGATTTTTACATGGACTAAATGAACTATAAAGCACATATAAACACACATGTGCTCACACACAACACAGGAAAGGGAACAGCCACAGAAAAGTCCTCAGAAATACCAAATCCTAAAACACCAACACCAGCCTATAGGAAGCATTGTTGAATACAAGAGAGAGAGAAACTGAGAGACAGAAACACAAGAGCAAAGCCGTGCTATAATTTGCAAGGAGGAAGCAAAACATACATGCACGCTCACACTCACACATGTGCATATCAGAGAAGCACGTCGGAGGAACTTCTCGCAAAAAATTACGTTTCCCTGCTTGGAAGGGTTAGAAATACCTTCCCTGGTTTGTCAACTGAGGATTAAAGGCCTTGTCAGTAAGACTGGGCCAGTGGTTTGGTTGACGAGACCTGCAGAAAGGAAATGCGTAAATGTCACCCTAAGGTCCACCTCCCATAAGGTCCATGATTAATACATGTTAAGTATGACTAATCCTCCACTACGGAGCTTGGAAAGTCCCACCAAAATTCCAGAATGAGGGGTCCTGCAAACCCTGCAAAAGCTCATCGTCATCATGATAATCAACACCGAAGGAGGCTTCTTATGTGTCAGGAAATGGATGATTTTCTTAGATTGCCCAACAATCTTATGAAGTAGGCACTATCCCCACTTTACAGTCAAGTAGACAAAGGCTCAGAGAGATTAGGTAATAAGCTCAAGGTCACAGTCTGTAAGAGGGGAGAGAATTTTAGAGACTCACATGTGGCTGAAAGGAGTCCCATCAACAGGCAACAGAGTTTCTCACCATAGCATTCATTAAGGAAGTGAAGGTTATCCACCTGGACTCTGCCCCTCTCTGCAATAGAATCTCATGGTGCTGAAAGCCCCAGTTAGGACAAGGGAGTTATTCAAGGTCATGCAGCTATTGGCAATAAAATTGACCCACAACCCATTTTCTCCTGTGCACTCGAGTTCTTCACACTGCAGTACACGTCTGCTTAATGAAGGCCCTGTAAGAAACTAAGCAATAAGGGAAGATAAGGAGAGAGTGGAGTTTTCCAGGAGCCAGATACTAGCTTTCCAAGCTTCTCCTATCTCAGAGATGGGTTTAATCTTCAACTAACCCCAATGGCAAATGTGTACCTTGGATACAAATAGGCCTCCTATCCACCTGGAGAAGGCTCTGCCCTGGGCCCAAAGCTAACACTTTGACTCTGGCAGCATCTGAATCAAGTTACTGACAGGGAACTGGGTAATGCCGCATTGCCCTGGCCTTCCGAATGGGTGAAGCTGAGCCATCAGATGGCCTGCAGCCCAGAGTTTCTTTTGGGAATATTTCTGTCTCATCCCCAAGTCTCTTCTCCTCAGAGCTGCACCTGCCCAGAAGCATGCTGCTCCAGACTTGCTCTGGACAAGCCAGCAAACTCCTTGCATTCCAGGCAGAGCTCAGGACTCAGCTCTACTCTTTAGGGTCAGTGCCTGGCAAGGCTGGGCTCTGGGGTCCTGTCACTGAAGACCATCTCCCTAATCAACCAGACCACCCTCTACCATTCAGAAGTTCCAGAAGAGGACCTTAAGGGCACCTCAACCGTAGGCCTGAGGATAGAAAGGCCATACGATACGCAGGTGAGGTAGCATTTGCTGCAACTCCTCAACAGGTTTCTCCAACTTTCTACAATCCACTGTTACTCAGGGCCATAAAACTGCTTCTTTACGTTCCTGTCTTGCTCCCGCAGTGCTGGCTAAAAAATTGAGACTCAAGCTTTACAGACATGCCTCAGCTGCAGTTCCCTCAGCCTGCTGTTTTAGGGGTGGAGGGCTTACTAGACGCCCAGGGAAAGGGTCACTTTGAAATGACAAGCTCCTGATAACTAGGCTTGGGCTAGTCATAAGACTCTCCTTGTCCTATCTAAGCTGGTTTATTGTGTTCTTGATGAAGGCTCAGTGAAACAACAGGACAAAAGTTTCCCACACAGAGGGCTGTGTTTTTCATATCTCTAGGACTATAATACCCACTCTGAAATGTGATGCTGCTATGTAGGAGAGGGGAGACTAGTGACGAGGAGTTAAGACTGTGCCATCATTGCCACGTAGATTACAATCTCCACTCTGCCACTTACTTACTAAATGACCATGGGCAAGTTGAACCCACCAGCCTCAGTTTCCTCGCCTGTAAACTGGAGATGATACTGGCTCCCTCAAAGGATTTGTGACAATTAATGGTGGCAGGGTTTGAACATGCCTGGCCCGTGATGGGCACGTGGTCAATTCCTTATTTCCTTCCCCCATATTTTAGGCATCCAGGATCAAGTGCACTGTCATGATGTTCCTAAGGCCACTGCTATTTGCTGAGTCTAATTCCAAAGTTCATATCCCATAAAGGACACCGTCCATACAGGCGTGTGCTAAGGAGATGTCAGTGCGTAGGCTGCTTGAGGTAAGAGCATGCGTGGTCCCTAATGAATGCAGGGCAATCCAGGTTGGGCAGAGGGCGGGGCTTCAGGGCAGTACTGGATTAGCAGACACCTTGCACCTCTGCCAAGATGGGAGATCAGCGTCCTTATGTTCCAGCCCCAAGAGGACAAGCTGCTTCCCAATGGGAAATGGGCATCAACAAACTCCTCGACGGACATCCCTGGTGTCCCCTCAGTCCTGCCTGCGCATGTCAGGTGATGCCATCCCCACGGTGACCCCTTGGCTGTCATGGACTCCTGTTGGGACTCAGAAGGCACCAAGAAGGTCCCTTCCATTTGGACGTTTTATATCTCAGGGGGATGGAAGGGAACGGGTGAGGGACTAACATTCTTGAACGCCTGCTCCATGCTAGAAAGTTTCAGGGATTATAACCTGACTCTTCAGGATTCCTCGGACGTAGGCAAGGACCCTTGTCTGACTCTGACCCTAGGAAGCACAGGCTCAGAGCATCTCTAAAACCTGGACACGCTCACAGGGGAGGAGCTGGAACTTGAACCCAGGTCCGACTCCAAAGCTCTAGCACTTTCCAACTCTGCTCACAGCTCTAGAAGGGGCTGCCAGAGGAGGAGGGGTGGCCACAGGCTGAAAGTCGGTCATAAGTAAATTTATCCTCTATGTGTAGATTATTCACGATCCATTTCAGTTTGCTTCTGGGTAGTCATGCAACTCTTCTGTTACAAATAGTTAAAAAAAATTCTTTGTGCCTAAAGATGAAACCACTTGTAAAAAGCAAAACAAAAACCAAAGCCAAAAAAAAAAAAAAAATTAAACCCTTGAACAACTTCAAACCCCAAAACAACAAATTGTGCTGCAAAGGAACTTCCAAAACTAAAATTGCCAGGGTTGTTGTTATTGTTCCAGGACCACAACATTGGAGCAAATCATAATTCTAATTTTCCAAACAAATAGCACAGAATCTGATAGAGAGCTTGCTGGCCGGAGCTACACGGTATCATTTTCAGTGGAGGCCATAACAGTTCTTTTAATTCATTAACCCAACATTAAATGTACCAGAAGAGGGATATAACTGTGTTTATACACAACTCTGACATCATCTGATTTTAACAAGTTTACTAAAACGACAGTCATGGCCTTGACAATACTGAATGCAAAATACTGGTGTACACAGATTTTACAGAGTGACTCCTGAGAGCCAGATCACAAAACAAGTTTCAACAGATGGGAGAGGCCTGAGGGAAGGCAAGCACACTGATTTTATTGAGAAAAAAGCTTATATACTGTAGGGTTGCTGAAGTTTAATAAATAAAGGTCAACTTATAATATATAAAAACAATATAAACATTTATATGCTACATGCATATCATATAATTTAAAGTAATAATTTATATATGGGGAGAGATGCCAATTCATGTTCTTCCGATTTTTCTTGACAAGGCACACACACAGGACGTGTCTATCCGTATCCACCGCCAGCCCACGAGTTTATTGTTTTCTGAAGTCAGTGCTCGGACGTAGGTTTGGGACGTTTTGCACTGAGAGTTCCAGTGTTTATCATCAATGCCCCTGCAACCGTTTTTGACTGGCCTGGCTTCCTTACATCGCGTTTCATAAAAATATTGTTTGACGGGAGAGTTGCCCGTTTTGATCTCCCCCAGCACCGTGACCTGGTGTCCCCGAATGTCGATGGCCGATGACTTGTCGGTCACCCACAGACTCTCACTGTCACATACCGAGTACTCCCCTCGGTGACTCTTATGCTCCGCGTACCGTTTCCGCCGTGATGTTCTGTTCGCCACCACGGGGTTGCCCACGTAATCTTCCATGAGGTACAAGGGTGGGGGCTCCAAGGGGGTGCTGTCGCTCAGCAGGACCCGCGGTGAGTTGTAGCGTCTCTGTTGCCGCAGCAGTTCGGTATCCATTGCAATCACTGGCTGGAATTCTGACTTGGCGGGCTGTCCCCGCTCCGGCTCTCGGGGGGCCTCTGCTTTCGGCAGGGTGCTCTGGTAATTTTCCTTAACGTCCACCATCTGCTTGGAGAGCTTGTTTTTCAAAATATCTGCCTGGATCAGCTTAATAATCAGGGAATTGAGCGAGTCTTCTGGCAAACTCCTTTGATCCATGTTGTTACCTTGGATGCCACGGAGATAAGCGAGAAATATCACATAAAACAAGATGGACATCACCTTGTTCACCTGTAAGATCTGAAAGGGAAACACAGGTGTTAAGAGCAGGCCGTGGCAGCTGAGTCTGTGTTATTCTGGCACCAGCTACCTAAGGCTGAGTATCCCTGTGGGGCCCGAGAGAGGATCCCGCCCCCCAGGTAAGCAACGCAACTCCCCTCTGGACATTCTGAAGAGGCAATTTCTTTCCCCCACCCCCAGGAAATACTGCAGAATGCACTCCAGGTCTGCTGACTCTGCTTTTTGCACGGGTTGTATTTACATTGGATGTCTGCTTTATCCTGCAGCCTCGACTTGTGGGTGGATGATGTCCTACCGCTTCTTTAAACATCCCTTGAGCCTGCAAAGATGCATGATTCACTCTAGTCTGGCAAAGCATGAAAACTTCAAACCTGAGAATTGTAAGCATGGAGTAACTTCCCTTCAGCAGCAGCAGCAGCGGTGGCCTTGTAATTGTCTCAAGAAAGAGTTCGACTGCTCCCTAGCTGCAGCCCCAGGAACACACTGAGGCTGAGGACTGGTTCAGTGGCCCCCCATACTGCAATGTCAGATGTGGGGTCATTCCTGGCCAGGTCGCAGCCGGAGCGGTCTGTTCTCCTGCCCTTGGAAATGAACATGTAGGGTCACTACCCACTGTGCGAGAGGGCCTGCGTTCCAGGGTGCTCTGCCGAGCTTTCTGACAGACACACATCACCAACCGATCTGCTCCATCCCCAGGGACCCTCTCTGCAAAACAGAGCCCTGCCACAGCGCGACTTGCAGGAGACAGAGATGCAGAATAACCACCTCACATAAATGGGCTGGACTTGCCCAGAACAGAAGAGTCATTGTTGATTCACTTTCCTCCTTTAGATTTTTAACATTTCTGCTACAAAATGTTCCTGTTAGTGGTTATGCTCCTTCTAATTCTACTATTTCCTTGTTTAAACGGCATTTCAACCCATCGGCGCCCTCATTCTGTTGCCATAGTAGAAGGTTAACACCGGGCTCCTGAGGAGTCCTGGTGGAATTACAGTGCTGATCTCAAGATACCTTCATTGCTGGTCTCTCCCTCACTAGAGCAAAGAAAGCCCAGATCTTCCGAGGGTTAGCACTGGAAGGAGATGCTCCAGGTGGAGAGGGGCAGCTGAGCTAGTGATGCCCCTGATTCCTCCACCTCCTTGAGATAATCACCCCTTAATTACCATCGCCACCACCTCACCGCCTCCCAGGGTGTACATCATTTCCTATTTAAAGTTCTGTCTAAACATGGAAAATGAAAACTCTTCCCCTGGTTCACCTTTGGTATTTTCGGAAAGTCCAGGGGGAAAATAGGGAGGAAATAAACAAAGCCGACACAAGAAACAGAAGAGCAGTCCTGCTAACCAACACCTATGTCTGAGCCCGCCAGTGCTCCCTCGCTCCCAGGACCCACAGAGAGCCTCTTCCCAGCTTGTCTGAAATACGGCTGGCTCGCTTGTCCCTAGAGGTCAGCAACAGTGACGCACTCTGCTCATACTGCCTCCTCTTGTCACTGTGATAAGGAGACCATCTTCTTTCCATGGGAACTAGTCTTGGGAACAGCTGACCCCTTCAAGGTCAAAGCCAAGAGAGGGATTCTAGCTTTGCTGCTCACCCTTAGAGGAAAATGACTCTCAGGAATTGTACTATCCTAGGAAAACGGTTCCTCTACAGTGTAAGGAATCTCCCTCCTACTCTGCATACAAGTGACATTATCTTCAATATTACAGGCCCAACAAAATGCAACTTGAACAATACAAAGAATATGGCATACAACTAGGATTACCTTCCCTACTCCCCCCAAAAAGAACAATACAGCTGCAATAAAATCATTTAGGACTGACAGTCTATTGAAAAACAATTTATTAAACCTCCCAAAAGCTCAGCCACCGTAAGCTAAGAATACACAGGGTATCTGCTCTTAAGGAAATAAATCAAGTATGGTTAGTGAGGGGAGGTCCCGGGTAGAATAGGAGTCAAGGTACAGATTAGTGAGGTAATGACCAGGGTGAGCTGAGAGGGAGAATGCTGGCTGATGCTGATGGATTGAGGAGGAAAAAGTAAGAGTCTTTATGGGTGGTGGCTGGAATAGGGAACCAAAGTTTATTAGAAGTAGACAAGCCATATAAAGAGGACATCTAATCTTATTCCTTCATCTTATAGATGAGGAAAACCTAAATGCAGTTTAAAGAAGAGGAGAAACCCACAGGAAAGTGAGAGGGGTTCTCTGCACTCCGGCCCTCACCTCCCTTTTCCATGTGATCATTGAGCTCACGGGCCCCTTGCTCCAACCCCATTCACTACTCACTGCTGCTTGAATCACGACCCACGTGCACTGCCTCTCCTGTTGAAATTTCACCCATTTTTCAGTGCCTGGTTCCAAAGCTGACTTTTCTACAATGCTCCCCCAAGATCCCAACAGCAGCACCTGCCACCTCCTTGCAACCCTAGCCTGCTCTCCCAGTGGCTGACCATTTCTTTCTTACTTGCCATGATACTTTGTAATAAGTAGTGGGAGTAAGTCATCTGCAGGTTGGTGTTTCTAAACTCTTTAGAAGCCTGTCTTAAAGCCCTGAAGACTTCCTGTAGACTCCATTTCAAGAATCTACTTTTAGCTTTTTTCGTAGAGAGCAAGTCCAAGAATGTTGCCACAGAACTCCCCAAAACACAGAGGTTTGCAGCTGGGAAGGACCCTAGACAATCCCCTCATTTATACAGATAAGGGAACACTGGTGGCGAAGTGAGCTGTCTAAGGACTGCTAAACAATGGCAGAGAGTGACGGGGGCATTTGGTTCGTAGGTTCAACAAAAGTCACATGGCTTGTGCACCATCAAAGTTATTGTGAAGGGTAAACAAAGAAATCCACATGGAAGCACCCAGCGTAGTATCAGGGACAGAGTGAGCACACTAGAAATGTTAGAGAACATGAACCTGAATGGCCTGTGGCCACGGGAGATGGTGCACCTCTCTGCCCTTGATGCACACGGGCGAGGGACCCAGCGTCTGGAGAGCTCCCTTCTCTACATCTGGCTCACAGCAATCTGTACCAACACGGTCCCAACATGGCTTTCCCCCAGATGCCACAGTGCCCGAGTGCTTGGATCTCAGACCACTTACGCCGGTTGCGGGAGAAGAAAGGAATATTATGAACTGGAAGCCCAGAGAACAGACAAATGATGAAAGCAAACATGGGCAAGGGAGAGGTGGCATTTCTGAATACGCTGGGGGCAAGAAGAGATGCATTCTGATCTCTGGTCACTTTTTGGCCACGAGTACCTTCATTTTTCACTCCATGTCTGGGGTGGGAGTCCCCCAGTGGGCCAGTTCTCTGGAGTGGGGAATGGAAACAGGAAGGCAGTGCTAGCTCCACCCAGGCAAGGCACAGCAGTGAGTTCTTCTATTTAGGGGGATGTCTATGCTCTTTCTCTAGGGGTCACTGTCATCTGCAGAGAACTTCATTTAAACAATTGTCATATTGTGCTATTATTGTTGGTGTGTCTCCTCTTGGACGACAGGGACCGTGTCCTTTCCATCCACACATCCATCCACACAACGCCCAGCACAGGGCTGGACACGCTGCGGAGTTTCGATGTCAATTTACTGAATGAACGCCGGCTACGATATAGACCTACCCAAGGCAGCGCTTACTGGCTGGAGAGCCTGCATGGGCTTTTGCCAAGCCTGGTTTTGGAAGCCAATCAACTCTGCCTTCTTTTCCCAAAGAAAATACAGGCCCTGGCTCTGAAGTCGGCCATGGTCCCCAGGCTCTTCTTGGCTATAATTAGAAAAAGACCTGTTAAAGACCTCAGTAAACCCCCTTTCTACACTCTCCCCGGTGCCCATTTCCCCTGCTCAGAGTTTTCCAAGATCCTGACCGACGTGCATGTGCGATTTTCCTCACTTAGAAACGCTTTCCCACATGTGGTGTTTTCTCAGTCCCTGGAGCAACATTCCTGCAAGGTTTCACCATCCCTCAAAATACTCAAAAGAGAGCAATTTCTGATTCCTCCTTTTTGGCTCAGTTAACAGCATCCACAGAGGGTTTGGGGGTATTCAAGAAGCAGCGGACATGGAAAAGGAAGCTGGGGTAGAGAATGGCACAGAATCTGAGCCCCCAGCAACCTGCGTCTGCCCTGTCACATGCAGAGACGGGGCTGCAGCCTTCAGGTTCCAATTCACCTCTCCAGGACCAGCTTCCTTATACAGGAGCACCTCCCGACCACGTACCTAAAGACCCCTCTTGCTGCCCATGTGTGGAGTAAATTTTTAGACTGCTTAGGGGTGAGATCATCCAGAATAAAAATGCAAAGTGCCAGGTACTGGCTTATATAAATCTTAAATCCTGGTGACAACCATCCTGAAGTAGGTGCTATCATATTTCTCATTTTGGATGAGGAAACCAAGGCAAAGAGGGGTTCCACAACTAGCTAACAAGCAGCAGAGCCAGGATTTGCACCTTCTGGCTCTAGAGCTCATGTTATTAATGATGACACTCTGCTGCTTCTCCGTCCATCCCTGCTCTCAAACATTCTAGAGAGTTTACTTCCAGAGGAAGCCCAAGCTCCAAGCCTGGAGCCAGGATGGCTGCTGTCAGCAGGCTGTGCCCTTCCCCAAGAAGCCTCAGCTCTAAGCAGAGTTTGCAGAGATTTGAGGCCATCACTCCTATGTCCTCCTCCCCATATTCCCTACGAAAGCACCCGCACAAAAGTAAACACAATCCAATTCCCTCCTGGGCCTGACGGTCTTCAGTGCAGCCCATCTGCAGGTCACCTGTGCCTGCAGAGGCCCTGTGTTGTAGTGGACAGAACACGGAGTGCACCATCTCACATCCAGGGTTTGAGACCAGCACGGAAAATCTGGGCGACTTACAAAGAAAGCAGAAAGGCTCTGTTTTAGCTTTCCTCAGAGAGGAGAAATGAGAGCAGAGGTGAAAGCAGTGTTTAATTTGCCAAATTTTTAATATGCAAATTCAAGAGATTTCATTATTTCTGGTATAACCATATCCGCTGGAGGCAAATTCATTCTCTGGCTGGGGTCAAAGAGGACGCTGGCCAGCTGTGTCCAGAAGGGTCTGACTCTGGAGAATTTCTTCGGCTACGACATGGCCTCTGACTAATGCTACGGGCTCAGGAGACATCCTGCCAGATAACCCTAATGTCTTGTTCAGGGACTGGAAAGGCAGAGAGGTGGGAAAGTGATAGATTTAAAGTAGCATGACAAAAGGGAAAGGAATGTGGTGGAAATATTAAACTAAGGCCATATATAAAAGACTGGCTATGCTTGTTCCCCAAATCTTAATTGCAAAATTAATTCACCCTGGCTTTGTTCTGAACATAGGTCTTGAGGCCTCAAAATTAGTCAATGGGGCCACACGAAGATGTTCTGACCCATGGCAAAGCTGGGAGCTGGGAGAGAGAGAGCCTGGTGGAGCCTCCACTGGGGATTGGTCTGGTTTTGGTTAATCTCTTTATTAATGATCTGGAAGCAGGAGGGAGGAAAAAGTGGCAGATTAATTAAAATGCACAGATGACGCTCAAAGGGAAGGTGCTGCAGACACCAGTGAGGACAGACCAATTAGGCTGAAGCACCCGTGGGGGTTGGCAACCTGGAAATAGCATGATTAGATTCAAACTAAAACATGTAGGTTAACTCACCGGGGGCACGGTGGATCCAAAACCAACAAGGGAGGGAAATTCTTGGAAGGGGATGAAGCGGGGGGGCGACTTGGAATTGCTACAAGGAGTAAATGAGAAATGAGCTCACATGAATAAAGCTGTGTGGGTTTCCACGGCACCTTCTTCCCTGCTAGCTCTGCGTCCTCCACCTCATTCACTTCAGCACCTCTCAGGTAGTGGCAACCATGAAACTCCCTGTCTTATGGAGCACAAAAAAGACATAAATTGAGGAACAGAGCCAAGATCACAAAGCAGGCCAGAGATGGTCCCCAAAACCTGCTGACGTGCATGCTCTAAAGTCACGGAAAACCAGAAGCAATCAGGGAGCTAGAGGAGAAACAGCTACTCTCTCTGTTGGTAATTGGTGAGGCCTCATGAGACAATCCCTGAACTCTGAACAGGTCTGCATCTATGTAGTGTCAAACCAGGTGAGAGAAGGGGCAGGTGTGGATTCCTATCCTGTTCTTTAAGATACCTAATTGTACTGTTGTTCCTCTCCTTAAAACTTAGTACTTAAAACTCAGGGCTCTGAAACTGACTAACACACATGGTCAATCCTCGGCCCAAGATCTGAAATAGGACAAGGCCCTCAGTTTTCAGGAGATGCTGGCTTCTCAGCAGAAATGAGACAAGACACACAGTCAACAGTGAAGGCATACTCTAGGATAAAATAAAATAAAACAGAGAACCTCAGAAGGTTGACTCGCCTCCCTAAGAAAGGAAGTAAGGAAACTGGTCCTTTCGAAGGCCGGAAAGTGAGGAACAGGGACCCCTGAACAGACAAGGAACCTATATCCCAAAAGAAAGCCAAGTGGACCGAGATGGAGGTAGGAAGCTGTGAGTTTCCTTTGCACAGCTGTCAGGAGAGGAATTTCACATTGTTTAAAGCATAGCCTCCTCTGGCCCCGGGCTGTGAAAGATGGAAGGCATGGCACACGTCAAAACTGTGCACCAGCCGCTCCAGGGAGGAAGGTACGACAGTTATTCCCCAGGCCAAGGAAGCCTCTGGCTTAGCCCCGTCTTGGCCAAGAGAGATCTTAAAGGAGCTTGGTATGCCGACCCAAGCCCCAGGAAACTCAGGTTTACTTTATCCTTTGCATATCACAAACTCCCATGTCATGGAGGGTGGACTAAGAAGGATCTTCAGAGAAAATGTGAGTCAATCTGGCTACTAGCCATCATGGGGTTATCCTGCATTTAGTCATCTTTGTTTTGGTAATTCACACTCATCCACCACTGTGCATACAGGTGTGCATGCATGGGTTGATGGGCCTACACACACACACACACACACACACACGCACACACACCATGTAACTACCTGAGGTGAGGATGGACTCTAGTTGAACTATTTTCAAAGTTTTGAATTTTGAAAAATTTGAAACTATTTTCAAATTATGGAATCATTTAATGTTCAGAAACATTTCAATTTTGGTATCATTTTCTGTGTCTGGATTACTCCAATCTGTAAGTGTGAAAACACACAAGGGGAAGTTGCTTCAGCCACATAGACAGCTGAAAGTGCAGCTGGCATTAAATAATAACTTTGGCCTCAGAGAATAGCTGCCCACGTCAATGTTTTTGTTTTAAATTTATGATTATGTTCAAGTCGAGTTTATGGTCAAGCGTACACGTTGTCTGCAAAATGCTATACAACAGTAAATGATACCATTACAAGGTAGGGGCTGCTGAGTAATTGATTTTCAATAATTATAATTAATAATAATGATGACAATGATGAAAGTATTTATCTTATCCACCCAGACAAGCATGAGTCTCCAAATGGCAGAAGAAATAAGTTGGCTTCCTCTTGAGGGTTGGAGGCCAAGGGAAATCCCAAAGCATCCCTTCCATTCAATTCTTACTCTTCCAAACCAAGACCACAGCTGGCTTGGCAATGGCCAAAACTTTTTTGTGTGCATCAACCATAGCAGCAAGTCCGCGATAAACTCAAACCATACTGGTTTGGCCCCCAGAGGACTTGGTTGCAGAAAGTGTGGTCAGATGGCAGGCTGACTCCTCTAGACTTGGCCATCAGGCCTGTGTCAAATATGGCCCCTCATGTCTCCCTGCTGCCACACAGCCAACTGCCTTTCACAAGGATGAGGAGTATTGACTGGTGGTCTGCAGCTGTATTGATTGCTGGTCTGGTCTGGATCCCTTGTCCGGAAAACCATGGTGTCCGAAGACTGTGACAGCTGGGACTGTCTTTTGCTTCTCCAGGTGTCTCTCCCCTCTGTTCCCTGTGACCGTCATCATGCTTCTGAGTACTTTTACAGACTAGGGAACTGAGGCAGAAGAAACATGTGTCTGGTGCTTTCCTGAGTCTCTTCTCACCCACTCATGTAGTGATGCAGGGATGTGCACACAGGAAGAAAACCAATCTTCCATCAAAACTGGAGTGTGTGATAGACACTTAACAAACACAATGACTCCAACCCAAAACACTCCAGTGACTCTTTCTGGGCAGCTGGGCAAGACTGAAAAACCAACCCAGAGCTTGTCCTCTGAAAGCAATTTTGGCACAAACACTCTGAACCCCAGGCTGTCTTTAATCACAGATGCAAGTCATAATAATCGCTTGTAAGAACAGCTCACATTTATTGAGCCTCACCATATGCTAGACTGTGCGGAACACTTCACAGGGATGATCTCAATTAATCCTTGTGGATACGATTATTATCCCCACTTTTCAGCCAAGGAAACTGAGGCTCAGAAGGATTAAGTACTTTTTCTCAAGATGAGACATCAATTGAGAGGCAGAGCCCGGGAACAGACCCCTGTCTCTGTGATCCCACAGGCCTAACTCTTAGCTGATATTGCAGAAGATCTCTCAATTCACTCCAACGTCTAAGGCACCCGCCACTTCATTGCAGTGAACTAGGTAGCAAGCAGCATGCTGGTATATTAATGTTTCTTTCTTTGTAGAGTAAGAGCCATTCAAGACAGATCCTCTGAAACATAAAGGGGAAATTTCCAGTCTAAGGCTTGCCTCACCGATTCACAGTAACTGAAGAGCATATGTATGTGATATGGGGCTAGTGGAATCAGTTGTTTATGGTTTACTTTCTCCAAATGTAAAGTATTCCTTTCCTCTTCTCTTAGTTGATGGTTAAAAACAACCAAGAACCCAAAGATTCATTTTAAAAAAATGGCTGGAGCGTTGAAGGTGGGACAGATTTCTGATTCTTTTGTTTTCACAGATTGCAGCATATTTGTAGCTGATGATGAGAAACAAAATAATGTAGGCTCTTGGCACATCCCCTGTTTTGATCTGTTAATAAAACCCAACTCTGCCACGAATGAGCTTTGTGGCTAAGGGAGAATCACTGTGCATCTTGGGGGCTCAGTTCCTGAGCAGTGTTTCTTCACAGGGGTGCTACTTGGATTTTGAACAGGACAGTTTTTTTATTGTTCAGTTTTATCCCCCATGCATGCAACTCAAGGCCACACCTACTAAATATCAATCGTGACCCCAGTCATGGTGACAACTGAAAAAAAGGACTCACACCTTTCCAAATGCCGTCTGCAGAGACCCCTCAGTTATGAATCACATAACATGATGCTGGGGTGTTAATTGTTCTATGATCACTGGCCCTTTTACAACATAATCAATGTTAAGGAATCCTTCTGCTAAAACACCACACATGTGCCCATAAATAAATAATATTGCAAACAATTTCAAGGTGATTCAAAGAGTCCGTAAAAATCATCCTACTGTCCCACAGATTTTAGGTTTAGAATTCTTGAACTAAAGTATTTCAAAGGTTCTTTCTAGTTGACATACCCTATGCTTCTATTATCCTGTGCCAGCCCTGAGTCATTTCTTCTCCAGACCAAATAGGGAAGAAATTATTATTATCAGCCGAATTTTCTGGTCCTCTTTGTTTCTCTGTGTCCCTGTGAAGCCAGGGTGCCAGCAACTGGCATCCAACTCTATTAGGATTGGGGTACAATGGAAAGGTTATGGGGGGAAAGTGACTTGCCCAAAAGTCAATCAATCAATCAATCAATCAATCAATCAATCAGTACAAGAGCCGGAACCAGGCCCAGCCCTCCAGATGACCAGCCCTACGCTGCTCATCCACATCCACACACAGAGTAGTCAGTGTATTTAAGGACACATGGAGGGAGGCCTGCCCACACCTATCAATAGGGCTTCCTGGGGGAGGCACAGGGGTCCCAGGTGAGCCTGTCCAACACAGCATGTCTGACACTATGTGTGAGAGGCCTGAGGCCCCAGCAGCCCTACTCAGCCCATGGAGGCAGCCCACGGAGGCAGACTCTTTCCCTTCTTCCTTTCACAAGTGTCTGTGTAGCACCATCTATTGGCATCCACCTTCCTTATGGACACCAGGAATCAGAGCATTTTCCTTTCTGTCCATAAACCTGCCATCACTCTGGGTGACTTCTTCACCTCCAACCTGATGGCTTTTTCATTCCTTGGTCTCCCTGTTCCTGCACATCCTCAAGACCTGTGTTCTCCATGATGTTTGAAAATGCAAATGCGATTCCTCAAAGACCTAAGCGATTCTTCAAAGACCTAAAAACAGAAATACCATTCGACCCAGCAATCTCATTACTGGGTGTATACCCAAAGGACGATAAATCATTCTCTCATAAAGACACAGATGCACACATATGTTGATTGCAGCACTGCTCACAATAGCGAAGACATAGAATCAACCATCAATAAGAGACTACAGGGTGTCATCTTGTAATGCCACCAAGGTCATTCCATTAAGTTTGCTCAAAAGGGCCTGATTCAGTACCTCGGTGAGGAATCTACGGTGGATCTCCAGGACGATTACTGGGTTTACCAACTACTCGGGGCTGGAACCCTGAAGAACATGGGAGTGGCCTGGCACTGCTGGTCTCCTGAAGGTGTGCGCCAGCAGAGGGTCTGCAAGCCCCGTGGGTCTGACTGCAAAGTGGCGAAGCAGAGAGGCGAAGCCACCCACTGCTCATGGAGACTTCAGGTAAGTGGGTGAGTGACAGGCAGAGACAGAGAGAGCCATAGGCAGACACACAGAGAGACTGGGAGAGAGAGAGACAGATACAGCGATACAGAGACAGAGAGAGGCCGAGACAGAGAAAGAGACAGAGACTGAGGAAGAGGGAGACAGAGATGGAGGGACAGAGAACAAAGACAGACACAGAAAGGATAAAAAGAGAAAGAGGCAGAGATATAGAGACTGA